GACTGAAATAGCTCACTTCCCGCCCTTGCCACACAATATACTATTTTCAAAATATTCGTTTTGGGAATTTCCTAACATAAGTATATTTCTTAAATTATTTATTATCTCTATAACTTTAATACATTTTGTCATACGTTCATGACTGGTATACATTTTCTTTCGGGTCTTTCTGCGTTACATCCTGTATATTAATTAGGGTGGTGGACTCTGGTCAGCCCGAGTAAACTATTTGAAGAAAACAAATGGTGGATAAATATATGCTGTGAGGCTCGCAGGGAATGCCTACCTTCAAATAATTATGTTAAGATTTATACTTCCCTATAGTACCTGGAGGTTGCGCAAACACACAAGCCAAGCGCACTAAGGACGACAGCTTCTGGTCTTATAATAAAATAGTAATAATAAATGATATTTATTTTTTCATATGCCCAGTGCCTATATTATTAAATGATAAAAAAAAAATCCCTAGTTCAATTCTTGTTAATGCTCATTATTAAAAATAATTAAATATAGCAATGTCTGAATGTCTGATGAGTTTGTATAAATTTATTTATAATTAACATCCAGTACAGAATCCCACTCAATGATGAGGTATATCAAATCCCAAGGTTGGGCATTAAAGATAGTTAAAAAATTAAGATACTTTTAAGTTTTAACTAAACAAACCCGCAGTAGCGTATCGTGCCGTAGTTCATCGTATGTACTATTTACTTGTTTAAGTAAATGAACAAACTATTTAGCAACACTGCAGGACGCGGGTTAATTTTTGTTTTTAAATAAACCACCTGATATGTCCGGGCAGTAATACGCAGAAAACAAAATCTCTTTTGCATAATATACTGCATGTACTTCGTATAGATTTTAATAGTGGACATAAAGTCTTAAACAAATAGCCTGTCATCTGTGTCACGTATGGTTGAAAATTATTTTTCACTATATTGTTTTTATATTGCCTTCTGTGGAGCTGTGAGCGTGTAGCCAATTAATTATATTCTAATAATGCATTTGATTACTATAATATTAACTATAGGTACTAAATTTTAGTATAGTTGTGGATCATTACGTAAACAAATACATAAGAATAATTTAATTATTTTGTTGGATGTCATCATTTATTAAAGGATTTATATAAGTACCTACAATAATTAATTTTAACACATACATATATTTAAAAACTACAAGACATTTATTTAATAAATTACTACATTATTTTTTAGACTTATAAAAGTAGGTAATTGTTAATTATACATGAAAAAAAAAGTAACTGATTTTTAACTAAGTTAAGTTACTTTTATTTTCTAATTGACTTAACTTAACGAGTTAAAAAAAATAGTTGACTTGCCCAGCCTTGCCAAAACCTTCGTAGATCCTATATAGTACACCTATAGTATATTATACTATACAGGACAGTGACTTCCTCAGTTTTTTACAGGTTATTTGAGTCCCAGGTTCTAGGAAGTAACTAATTGAATATGTAATGTTACACTTCGTTATTGGCTATTTCGTGATAAGAGTAACAATAAATAATTTTAGTGTGATCACTGTGATCGACGTAATTTATAGATAACTGACTGTTTAAACTAATATGGCTATACGAGTATACCTATACCCCGTGATTTAATAGACATTATGCCGACTGATCTTGGTCTGAGGTTATATTTTAATATTTTTAAGATCATTTATGTATCTGATACGTAAAATGTTAAAAATATTTGGAGGCAGGAAATGTGTACTGAAAATTCATATACACGTAGCACACAATAGCAACTATAATACAAATGCATATTATACTAGTCATTTCCTGTTTAGAAAAATCGTTCTATAGGTTTGCATATACCTACGTACATAGGTACCTAACTAAATATAACGTACTACGTTGGCTTCGTCTAATCCAAAATATGCTTTTATCTTTAGACGTTTTAAAAAAATATATTAAATAAATGTATTTTGGGTTGTAATATTAATTAAAAAGTCTGTATAAGTATTCAAAATAAATTATAAAAAGCAGACTACTTAACACGGGTTTGATCGTCGAGTTTTCATAGGTAGGTATTATAGGTCCCTACATTATCGCGTGTTGCAAGTTATACCTAGAAAACTAGAGAATAAAATACAATTAATTATTATATTATACAACAAAAATTATGGACTTTGACACGTTGCTGGTTTTCGTATAGCCCGTCAAAGTTGTAAAATCCATCACATCTGTCATAAACTGCTGCGTGTGTAATTTAGTAATTATAATGATCATAAAAACCGTAATAAATTCGTCGCCATCGTTATTTATGTGATCATAAATACGGACATAACCAATCAGGTGCTGATCAGATACCATTATTTTAATACAAATTATAACACATAAACATAAAATTATATTATGCGTGGCGTAATAATATAACAATAAAACTGAAGTAGTTTAGTATAATGATATTGCACTTATAACTAATTTAAGCATAATATAATAATACTATTACCTATTTAAATGTAAAATACTAAAATAGTAAAATGTGTAACACAAAAAACTTCTTATTTCATCCAGATTAGGTATTTAAATAGTAAAACAAAAATATAAGCTATATAAGAAAACCAATATTGACTATTGGTAATATATTATGTAAATCAAACTGACGATTACAATATAGGTAGGCCTACCTACATAATCCCAATATTTATTTTAATGAAGATATAAAGATATGATGGGTACGTCGAATTAGATATAAAAATTATACATTACCAAGGTAGATAGGTAATGATAATATTATTGTAATTGTACCTCAGTACCTAAGACCTAACATGAAAGTATATATTTAAAAAAAAACTGAGTAGTACCTAAATACATTATACATGTAGCCATGTAGATATATTTAAAAAAAATGTATTGATACTAATAAGGTGATTGGTATATAGGTACTAATTGCGTTTCTCGTATTGGTTATTTATAAGACAAAGTTTTTTTTTTTTTATAGAACAACATTTTTATACAATCTATAATTACAATATATATTACAATAAGTATATGGGATGGGGATGATTAGAGGGAGGGGGGAAGTCACCCATTGGTGACATCTCATGAAGACAAATAGTTAGGTACCTATGTATATATGTTCAAATACTAGGGTTCAGGACTTGTTGCATTCAAAACTATAGACATATGCAGTCAAAATTATCAAACTATGCTAAAAATTACTCAAATATCCACTTTTTCTAAAATATGACAAAATATGTAAAAATACGCAATTCAAATTTTGTTTGAAATTTTGCCATTTCATAAAACAAATTTGTAAATTAAGTACTTAGAAATTAGAATAATCTAAAGAAATAACCACTACCAAAAAACATGCAAATGCAAGAAGTTCCGAATCCTAGTAATAACTAAAGTTGTCCAAGTTATCAATAATAACAGTTTATATTTCCTATATATATTATATTATGATAATATTAGATATATTTTGAATTTCATATGCCGGGTTTCGAGAAAAATATATTAATTGAATGATTCAATAACATTTAATGGACCAATCATGGTCCACTAAATCATATTTAAGGGACCATTAGCTGACTATTGATTTAATAAATGTTAAGTGATTGTTCATGCAACCCGGCAATAATAATCTAAGCTGATGAATATTTTTATGGCGTACCTACGACCTACACGTAATAACAAAACAAAGACTGAAACAATAGATTTTGATTTGTAATATTCAAGAATTCTACTTCTTCATTTAAAAACCTAAGAAATATCTATAAAAAAAATTATGAATAATCAGATTTTATTTTTTATTAATAAAAAACCTAGTGTACTATAATGGTCTTTAGGGTTCCGTATGGTAAAACGGGACCCTATTACTAAGGCTCCGCTGTCGGTCCGTCCGTCTGTCACCAGGCTGTATCTCAGGAACCATGAAAGTTAGAAAGTTGAAATTTTTCACAGATTATGTATTTCGGTTGCCTCTATAACAAAAAATACAAAAAAATCCTAGAATATATAACGTAAGCAGTGTTGCCATTTTGCCAACATGTTTATAGATGATGGAACGGAACCCTTCGTGAGCGAGTCGGACTAGCACTTGGCCCGTTGGCCGGTTTTTTTTTATTATTTTATGTGCATAATAATGGATTTACTGCTTATAAAAACTCGTCTTCATACTTTTGTATTAATAAAGACACCCATTAAAACAATTAACGTTTTGGAAAACATTTTTTTACATAATTTCAAGTCGTTAAAATACCTACAATTTTTTCTAAAAATGAAAATTTTTTACGATTTTTAGTTATAATTTTTTAAACATTTTCTTTAATAATGAAAACATACATTTTTAATTCCTTTAATTCCTAACATCTTAAATCGTGGATCGTAATTCGTGGTTATGAAAAAAAAAATGGGAATATAATTTCATAATAATCTCGATGGAGTGTTGTACTCTGGCAGTTAATTAAACAGCAGCTTTTCTACCGCTTTTGATGGTCGTGTGCACTGCGAAGATTAAAATGTTAAAACCATGAATATATAACCATAATTAATATTCTATTAGTCTTCACTCTTCATGCTGTATTGCTGTGCACTAAATTTATTACAATAATAATTAGTAATTACCTATTATAATTTATAGCCATGCCCGCCGATTGCCCGCCAGCCCAAAGCAACATGCAACAATACGAAAGACGATATTAACTGATAACGGATTTTCTGATGATAACGATTAACGGCTGAGGGCCGCGAAGCGCGATAACCGGACGGACGTGATAGCAACCGCACACGATTGTTGTGCTTATTATGATCCATATTAAATTTAAATATAATACTATCACGAATTCACGGCATTACACTGCTGGACACACTACAAACGATCGTTGCGACCATAGACAGGTCATAGTAGCAAGTAGCTGTATAATAATTAGTATTTACTACTTCACTGGTTGCACGTCCTTACCAGGGTCCGGTCTTAGAACGTCCAACTAAACGCATTTTGTTTTCATGAGCGCCTTCGAACGCGTTAGAAATGACGACTTCGACTTTCAGGTGAGTGTTTTCCCCACTGATAATCACATTACGATGTATTGTCTTCACTCTGTTATTGTTATTGTTATTGTTTTTGTTGTTGTATTGTCTTTGCGATTGTGTTATTTGAATTTTCTCGTCCACAGCAAAATCGACGAGTACGGTTTCATGCGTCCTGATGATTTCGATTACGTCGAATATGAAAAGTTCATGTCCGTTTACCTAAATTTACTCACTAATTATTCAATGAAGTGGGTACGCCTTATGTCGAACAATTCACAGCTGAAGAGAAACGCCAAACTTAAAAAGTTTGTACGCACTGGGATACCATTGGTACTTAGGGCACGGGTTAGTTATACATCAGTAAATATAATATAATACTTTAAACTTTTTGTATCGTTTTAAAGTATTTATCTTACTCGTGTGATTTTTAGGCGTGGACTTCTGTCAGTGGCGTGCAAAAGTTAAAGGACAAGTATGGACCAGATATGTATAAACAAATGCTAAGGAAACCAATTAATGAGGACATCAGGAATATAATCACGGTCGATGTTCCACGAACATATCCAGACAACATTTTTTTTCATCCAAATTCTGAAAATCAAAAAACATTGTTTAGGATACTATGTGCATTTGCAGCATGTAATCCAGAAGTAGGATACTGTCAGGTATATTTTAAATTTTATCTAATTTAGTTCTCCTTCATTTCACTTACTTATCTATATGTTTTTTTTAAATTACTTTATTAACCTACTACATACTTTTGATTGTCAAGATTGTCTAATAATTAAGTATTTTTTAAAATATAATGAGCTGTAAAGATTTTTAATTAGTCAATCTAAGACAACTACTCATTTAACAATTTAATTTAATTTAACTTCATTAACTACAAAATTAATCGCAGAATGTAAACAAGTAAATTTTATTCAATATCGGTATTTATAAATTTTTTAAAAAGAAAACTGTAAATTCAAGCCAAAAATATCTTTATTCATTTCTAATTAGTAAGTATAGTTAAATAGATCATTATCATTATTAACAATAACTATCCAGTACCAAAAGAATTTGTTTTGAGTTCAAGGCAACTAAGATTATAATAATCTCTATTCAAGACTAGTTGACTTTAAATTATGCCGTAGAATTCATTTTTATAATACATAATTGTTGGTATTTTTTGGTTATTGTACTAGAGTGCTCAACTGTGGCGACCAGGAAATACTCATTCCTTTATTGTACTCAGTGGTATTTTAAATAATACAACTATCTTGTGTGACATGTATGCTTTATTTATTTTATAAAATAATGATTTAAAACATAAATTAACTTATACCATATGGATGTTACAATAATAATGTTCGAATAAAATATGGATACAAAATAAAAATATTTATAAATTGGCTTGAATTTAATAATTTGTTTTATAATTGAAGTAAATCAAGTTATTACTTGAATGTTGCCAAAGAAATACCTATCTAATGTGTAAGAATGTAACACGGACCAATGAGTTCCGGATTGTATTTTATTCTGTTTTTTGGTCAATAGATTCTCAACATTTTGAGTAGGTATGTTTGCGATGGACCTGCATAATATGTTGAAATGCATTTTTTTGTTTAAAGAATCGTAGAGAACATTAAACTGACAGAATTGGGATATTCACCATACTTGGGTATAACAGCTCAAAGTATGCATTGATATTAAATATATGGATGATCAATCCTATTTTTACTAAACATACACATTTAGCGGCTTAGACCAGCATAACAGAAATAATAACCATAATTTTTCACATACACGGTAGCATTTAAGTGACAAAGAAACAAACATTTAAACAGTGAAATTAGATTTATAACAATGTTACAGTTATTAATGGTATATTTCTATTTTTATGTTGGCTTTACAGATTTATATACAATGCCATTATCCATAGATTTAATATCAATGGATTAACCAAAAAGTACCAACATTTTATTTTATGTTAAACTATTCAGTATTCTGTAATAAAAAAATGTTTAAATATTTTTTATTAATTTATTAAAGAAAAACCTGGCTTGCACCCAGGTTACATATGGTATGGTACAAAAATAATAACATACTTTTATATCATGACAGTTGACAGTAAAATAGAGTATACATTTAAACAATTTAAAGACTTTATTAAATAAGGAATAACAAATTGTCATTATTTTAGTTTCAACATTCATTGATATACTTTATTTTATTTAAGGTTTCAATTTCATAGTGATAAAAAAAAATGTGTACTATGTTAAATCAAATATTTGTGTAGCCAATTGTATATATATGTTTATACTATACTATACTATACTCATAATAATAATGACTCATTACTTCATAACAATATTTAAGTTTAATAAACTAAATTATTGTCAAATCGAATTTAAAAAAATTAAATTTGGTTTTTTCAGGGTTTGAATTACATAGCTGGTTTATTGTTATTAGTTACTAAAAATGAAGAATCATGTTTTTGGTTACTGAGAGTATTGGTGGAGAATATACTACCAGACTATTATTCTAAGACAATGGATGGTGTCATTGTTGATATTGAAGTTTTTTCACGCCTAGTAAAGTAAATAATAATATTATTATATACAATATACTATAAACTGTGTTAAACAAAACAAAATAATGTATTTGTACACTTAAATTATATTATGAACCTAATTTGAATTTTTTTTTTTAGGAAAAAATATCCTGAAGTATCTCAGCATATGACCGATTTAGACATGCCATGGGCGCTAGTTGCTACTAAATGGTTTATTTGCCTTTTTTCCGAGGTTCTACCAATTGAGGTACTAAATTGAATTTTGTATTTTATATTTTACTCTACCACAATGAAGTATGATTTTTAATGAGACTCCTTCCATTAAACTGATTTAATAAATATTAAATATTGATGGTTGCGCACCTATTTTGTCATTCAAATCATGAAATCAGCTTTACTTCTTCTTTAAACCATTCTCTTCTCCTAAAATTTTAACTCGTTCAATATCACCACTTTATTAATTCTAACAGTTTTGTTATTTAGTGTTTTTCTCTTCTTTCTTAATCGTATAAGTAAAGGGAAAATAATATTTTTTATTTATATTTAATCATAGATATTTATCATCTAAATGAATAGTAAACCTACTACAGACAAACTAAACAATAGATACTAACTATTAATTAGTTTTGTTATACTAGTCATAAATCATAATAGTTATATTCATCTACCCATTAGAATTAAATAAAATAAAACAGAACCCTTTAAACTGAATTGTTTTTATTTTGTATGGAAAATATGATAATTATTATATGGTGTTTATTTAGGTCTGATATGTATTTTATATTATTACTGTTAAATTTTTTTTTAGACAACTTTGAGAGTTTGGGATTGCTTATTTTATGAAGGATCTAAAGTTATATTCAGAGTTGGTTTAATGTTGGTGAAACACTATAAAAAAGAATTGTTGGAGTGCGAAGATATTGCATCATTGGCAGAATGTTTCAAGTCGATTGTTCAACGGCCGTTTCCTCTAAACTGTCATATATTCATTAAAGTTTGTGATTTGTTGATTTTATATTTATGTATACTGTTTAAGTAAAAATTGAATTTCTTTTTCTTTTTTTTTAGCAAATGTTTACAGAAATTGGATCCTTACCTATGTCATTGATTAATGATCTACGCAGACAAGTATCTGCTGAACGTGAATCTGATAAATCAATCTATAAAAATAGGAAAGGCTGAAATTGCATAGCCATTAATTATAAGAGCTTATGAAATGTTTGTACAGATGAATAAATTCTAGTCCTATTATATTTCTATGTTGTAACATGTGGCCTATATCTAACATTTTGAAATCAAAGCTTTCAATAAATTATTAATCTATTAAAATGTATAATTTTTAAAGTATTATAATAAATTGTAAGCAGCTCTATATAAATTGGTATCTATGTTTGTTGTACATTTGTTCAGTTACATAAAATTGTCTTGTTGTTTTCAAACGTTTTTATTGTATAAATTATGTTCAATCTGTGGCTGTGGTCTTTTTTACAATGTTTAAATAGTAATAAACCCAAAACAATCTTCTATTACATTTAAGTATTAACTATTTAAGCAATACAAGCCGCCATGTTATAATTAGTAAACTATAATTTAAACAAACTTTTATAAAAAAATGATTTTGTATTGTAACATTTTTTTTTTTAAGATTAAGGTATATTGTTGAATTATTATAATGTGTATCTCAAAGAGCTAAAAAAAATGACACTTATTTTTTAAATATGTATTTATTTTTATCAAATAATTTGAATATATTTTTTATATTTCCATTAATGAATTGATATGTGACTTAACATATCTGTACAACTGTATAACTGGAATGTATTAGTAATTATTATTTTAAGTGTTTGCCATAATATTATAGAGATAATATATTTTGTGTATGAAAATAAATTAAATTTTATATGATTTCATCATTATTTTTTATAGTAAAATGTGAATAGCATACATCTATATATATAAAAATGAATGTATGTCAGTGTGTCTGTGTGTCTGTGTGTCTGTGTGTCCATGTTACCATGGTTACCAAGGTTGCCATGGTTACTAAGGTTACCAAGATTTCATATCAATCTATATATATAAAAATGAATGTATGTCAGTGTGTGTGTGTGTGTGTCCATATTACCATGGCAACCATATCTGTATATAAAAAACAGTAAGCTGATTGACTGCTATCAACGCACAGCTCAAACCATTGGACGGATCTGGCTGAAATTTGGCATACAGATAGCTATTATAATATAGACGTGCGCTAAGAAAGGATTTGCCAAAATTCGCATTTTAAATAGGTGCTGAAACAGGGACATTGAGATTCACGATAGAAATTGGAAATTTTATTTTTATTTATTTATAGTTGCCATTGGTTACAGTCTACATTAGAAATTAGCATTTATTTATTGGTTGCCATTGGTTATTCGGGCAGATCAGGTACAAGCTTGCATCAAATCGAATTATTGAACAATGCTTACCAGGGTGGCAGAGTTGCACTTACCGCAGAAAATTACACCCAAAAGGAGTTCAACAATCATAATTTTTTTAAGAGTTGCGATTTTTTACGAGCAACCAAATTTATTATATTAATCCACAGTATTACATCAAAATAAACTTGGTATAACTTTGATACTTTAGAGTTAAATCATACACTTCCGTACAAACAGCACGGGGTCCGCGATCTACCGCAGGTAGATTGCCTACCTGATAATGTACTGCCGCGATTCAGAATTTTTATTCAGGGCAACGGGAAAGATAAGATAAATTTTGAACACCATACACGTTAATGAATTGAACAAAGTTTGAGTAGGTAGTATTGAGTTGATCCATTTAACGGGCGACGAAGTGCACGGGATCAGCTAGTATTTTATATTAATATACTGTTGAACGGAATGGATAATTTAAAATTTGCTTATTATCAATTAGTTTTAAATAAAAAATATAATGCCATACAGTTTATAAGGCTTTATGTAGAGTAATAATAACTAAAAAAGCTTAAATATGTAAATTTTTGCTGTTAAAAAAATACTAAAAAGTTAGTAAATTTTACTAATAAGTAATAAATTTATTAAATAATACATGTTAGTAAAATGGAAAAATATTTGTGGAGCGGTCTATACACTCAAACGCTGTAATGCTTTGAGTGTACTTATCGGCCGGTGTTGGTAGCTCCCGGATGGGTGACCACCCTGGGGATTCTTAGCAATAAATCCCTACTACACACACAAAACGAGTTCCAACCACAACCGTTCCTCCCCTTACAAACAAAAACAGATAATGGCCATAGCTGCCGGGCTTAACTCAATAAAAAAAAAAAAATCAACGAATTGCAAATGTCACCTTGGTAACATTAACAAAAACCACCAGCCAAAATGGTTTGCTCCGTGGCTTAATCTGTCTCCATATATTAAGATGCTCGCCTAATGAAATTTTGTGTAATGTCAGCATTGGATATCGTTCTAAAAAAAAGATCTCTGGATCCTGTAGCAGTAGGTATTAGCCACTATTAGGTAGATATTAGGTATAGGTACCCTAAAAACTGCATTACCTTTTAATATATAGACATATAGTTACCTACATGAACTGTTGGCTAATATGAAATTGATAATAGATGTAACGGAGACGCTGTGTATCATTTATATGTTCCCGTTACGGATCCACCCCCCGCCTGCCTGTTAATTGATAAGCTTTCAATCGCAAATAGCTATAATATTATGAATTCAGAATTATAAACTTAGGTAGGTATACAGGGGGGCGAATGTAAGTTCCCACACAAGATATAGCAGGTAAAAATCACACCCGGGTATGCATACTTAAGTTCCCAAACGAAAAAAATTACACCGAATACAAACTTCCTTCCCCCTTTATTAGTTTATTCAGACTTAGGACTAAGTTGGTTTGGTTAAAATTTGTTTGTTTTCGTGTTGCATAAAAAAAGTACAATACATTTTTTAATTGACTCTAGTCCAAATTTATAATAAAATTTAATAATATATAATGACGTGTATGATCGACATATTAATATATTATTATTATTTGTATAAGTAGGTATAAAACTATAATAGTTATAATAATTATTAAAATAGTAATAGAAAAAATTAAATTTTATTTGGCTTATTGCGAAATCTCAAACCCTTCATATAGTCATACTGTGTAATTATTTTTAAGTTGTAATCTGCTATTTTGTTATTGATATAGTCCCCCCCTAGTATTTGGGCTAGAGCTAGTTCTGATACAAGTCTCACTACAAAAGCTCGCGAAAGTACAAATAATATGTAGACCATACCTACACATTATATTATTGATTTTTATTATATATTTGGACCAACGACGTTTAAGTTGTCAGTCCTAAGTCTGAATAAATGTAGGGGTGTAATTTTATTTTCATATTAATTATTATATTGCATAATAACAATTTTATTTGCACGAGCTAGAGAGAGATTTTAAACTTATGTAGTTACTTCAAATTATAAGCTTGTAAAATATGCATTTTCCTCACAATATATATCATAATATATTTCCGTTGCCTATAATCTATATATAGATACTGTCTAATCACTAATAATAAGTACTTACTAATTATGCTAATAATGATAAATAAAATAATCTACATAGAAAATGAAAGTAGGTGTACTGCATATTTTGTTTTGTAGCTGCTTAAAAAATATGTTAACAGGTTTATTATACAGGGGCGACGGTGCTACTTATGGTCACTGGTTATGTGTGTATATTCGTATATCTGTACGGTATAGGTAGGTATCGTTGGTATCATATTACAGCTGTGACCAGTGGCGTACGCAGGATTTTTCAATGGAGGGGGCTTCAAAATTAGTAATTTTTATTTTGTCCAGTCTAATGATTTCAGACGTTTATTTGAGGTATTTTAAAATGTTTGAAACTTTTCAACTTTTCTGGTAGAAAAAATGCTCTGATCACAGGCTTCGATGCCTGGTGTATGTTTTTGGAAGCAAATTGGATCTAGTTGGTACTTTTAGGAGGTCGAAATTTAAAATGCTCAGTGCTTTTTAAAATAATTAGAGAAAAATATGAAAATTTATTAAAATTGTTTGGTAACCAGCTTGGTTATACCACAGAATAGATTAAATATCTATCCTGTGTTTATGCCGCCCTCACTTGGATTTTATTTAATTAATTAACATTTTTTTTTTCTATAAATTTCAATAAAAAATTTTTTATCCGATCACAAAGCTTAAAAATGTAATACATAAGTTTTTATTATAGCTGAAATATTAACGATACATAGGCATCATGGTTTTTTTTTATAAGCATTTAAAGTTCAAATTTTGTCAAAATCACAGTTAATTTGTAGTTCAAAACTTATAAAATATTAAATGTGTACCTATAGCTAAGGCTAGACAATTTAATACAAGGTTTTTCATACAAGTATTTCATACTTTTAAGGAAAATTTACAGATAATTTTAGGAAAATTGGTATGCAATTAATACAATGTTTTTTCAAAAATGAATTCACTCTGGTAAGACGTATATGAAATTTATGTCTTGCTTATTATAGTTGACAGTTGAAACTTGATAAATATTTTTTTTTTAAGTAATACAATAAGGACAATGAGCAATGGGGGGGCTTCAGCCCGTTAGCCCCCCCTGCGGACGCCACTGGCTGTGACATTGCAATATTTTTCAAAATAATTTTTATCGATTTTTGTCTATTTTCTTTGCCAGGTCTAGTCACCGCAGTTATTGCAGGCCACATTGGAACTTAAAAGACCACCACCCAGAGGAATTGTTTTAAATACTTAATAACATGTAAATACACTAACATAGATATAGATAATACCAGTCTCGACAATCATAATGATTATAATAGGCACCTATTATAGGAAGGTTTGTACAGTATTATAAATTATTGGTTTTACAGAATTTTACAATCGCTCGATAGCTGCTGCTGCAGTCAATATACTTATTACTTATTAGGTACCTATGTTCCTATTTCCTTATAAATACACATTAAATGGTATTATGACTTTATGAGTTATATAATATTATTAATATTATAATATGTACATAATACATTTAGGTATAGCCATATATGTTGTAAACGCGATAGTGTAGGTACACTGCGGTATAATAGGTACCTACAATCTACAGAGGACTACGTGAGTTGTTTATTTTATACCTATCAATATAGCAACACGCTTGTAATGTTAATAATTTAT